GAGCGGATCACGTCCCGTGGAACAACCTTCTATTGAAAATCAATACACTTATTAGTCTAGATGTTCTGATTGTTTGGCCAAGAAAACCGCGGCACATTTTCTCATGTTTTGCGACAGGTACAAGAAAGCAAGGGCGGCTCTCAAAAAGAACCTGCGGCGGCTGAAATGCGGGATAAACCCGGATTCTTTCCGATCCATCATGGATAATCCAAAAGCGATACCTGCGATAGCCAGGTACATCCTGGCAACAAATTGGTTTCCGAACATCCGGCGCTACATTTCATCTGCGGACATCTCTTGACCCCCTTCTCTCTCTGACCTCATCATTTTCATCGTATCTGTTATTGCCTCTTTCTATCCTTCTTTTTCTTTTCTAGTTTCTCCAACCTCCTCCTATCAACCTCAATCTAAGAATACTTGTATATACTGGCGAGGGACTAGAGAACCCAGTCCTGAATCCTTGAAGACCGACGGACCTCGGGTTATTGGGGGATAACTCGAGGATCCACTTTTTTCAGCAGCAGCGATAGGTTGAGGGGCCTAGACGCACTCTGATCATTTGATCTTCTGGTGGGATGGGATAAAGGACTGGGTGTACCGAAATCCTTAGCTTTGACCTCTCATCTCCCTTCTCTTCTTTATCGTTTATCCTTTCTCAGGTTTAATCTATCTCTTGCTGTTTTCTCTTCCTTCTAGTTTCTGAATTTCTTCTAGATTTCCTGATTTCTTTCTTCCTCTTTCTTTTTCTTTCTCTCTCTTTCTTCCTTTTCTTACAAAACACAACTGTTTCACACACTACAGCCCACGTCATCTTCTTTTTTCTGCCGTGACTTCTTAAATCCTTAGTTGATACAGATGTATATACATAACATACAGTAGACTAATAGTGCGGTATGTGAAATCAATAGCACTTAAAAAAAAAAAAAAAAAAAATGTACATGTATTGAGGGGGCTTCTTCCTTCTTAATATATGTCACCACCTTTTTCAATTCATCCAAAATTGTCATCTTAAAATCTACCTCGCATAACTCAGCAAACCCACCAATTCCCTCCCCTTCCCCAACTCCCCTTTGCAATACAACGAGCACTAGCCCCGCTCTCCCCCTCCCCTCCCTTCCCGCAACCTCACACCTACACACACGTCTCATAAACCCAATGCCACCCTCCCTGCTCCCGCAGGGCGGAGGCCCTACGACCGGCAACAACTTGTCCACCATGGACATGTATGTTGCTGAGGGCACCCTGCCTGTTGTCGAAAACCAACTAACAGAAAAGTTGACCAAACTGGTTGACACTCTGATCCCTAGGTTGTAAAGTCTCGAGAGAGCCGTCTCTGGCCAGGTTACCAAGCCTGCCGAGATTGCTCGGGCAGACTCTTTTAACACCCTCCTTGTGAGGATCGAAGAGATTGCGGCCAATATGACCAGATTAGAGAAAAAGGTAGAGAGCCTTTCTCAACCTCCATCCTCTAACTTGATGGCTCATGCGGCAGCAAAACCAAGCAACTTGCCACCCAAACCTGCCCCTCTCTACTCAGAAAAGGCGGCAGGGACCTCCGGGCTCGGAGCGGCTAAGTCATTGCCACCGGTTCCTCCCTCATCGTACATTAATAGGTTTAAGCTAGGTCAAGTTGTGATAAGGAAGAAATTTGACCAACCCAAACCTTTTGAAGGCCTTACAGCGGCGGTAATCTGTCAGAAGATCAATGATGCATTAGCCTTTGCTAAAGCATCAATCGATAATGAAACTATCAAGGTGAAGGCTGTGGCTCAGTTCCCCAACGGAGACGTCAAAATTTTTACTAAGGATTGAAGAGCGGCCAAATGGCTACTTGATAACAAACACCTCTGGACCGAGAAGGCTGATCCTGTTTTTGTTACTTCCCAAGTCGCTCACCCAGTCCTCCTCCATTCCTGCCCAACCAGTTTTGAAGTCGATAACAAAGAACATGTCGAATTACTTTGTAAGCAAAACGACATCGAACCCAAAGAAATCCAGAAAATCCGCTGGCTCCTCAACCCCAGAGGGACGGACAAGGCCACCAGCACCCTTCTTATCTTTTTCCTCAACAGGCAATTGGCTCTCGACATCGAGAGAGCCGGACTATGTTACAATAGCCTCCACCTTAAAGGTCAACACTACCTCCAGGGACCTAAACAATGCTACAACTGCCTAGCTGTTGGGCATTTAGCCCACTCCTGCAAGGAAAAGCCAGTTTGCTCGCGTTGCGGCGCTGGACATAACTCTGCATCCTGTGAGGAAATGGAAGATTCCTGCAGGAGCTGCCAGCGATGCCTCCAATTAGTCCGTAAATCCTCCTCCACAGTAGACTTGTCTGACCCAAAATACGACCACTCTCCCTTTAGCAACGCTTGCCCGATTAGAGCCAAAGAGATTGAAAAACTCTCCAAAGATAAAGCTCCCAACCCTCGTCAATGATAGATACAACCACCATAACCCCTACCATTGAATCCATGTCTGAGAACCCCAACTCCGCACTCCCTCTACCTCCCAACTTCACTAGAATCTTCCACCCACCTCCTACCGAGCAGTCCTCCTCTTCCTTCTCCCTTCTTCAACTCAACTGCCATAACAGAAGAGATTCCACACTCAGTGTCCTACATTGCAAAACTTCCCCCCTTGCTCTCTTACTCCAAGAACCTTGGACCAACCCCCTTGACTATCTCCCACCAACCCACCCTAACTGGTACCGAGTTTCTCCAATTGACCAACCCACATCCAGTGACAACAGACCTAGATGTTGCATATACATCAACAAATCTATCCCCAGCCACTACTTCCACCGTTTACCAGAAAATTCCAAATTTCTCACGGCGGTATCCATCACCATTCCCACCGAAAACCCACTACATTTCCATATCATCTCTCTCTATAATCCCCCACCATCTTTCTTAGCCATTCCCACACTAGAAGACTGGTTAAACTCACACAATTGCCGCCACACCCCTTCCATTCTCATGATGGACTCAAACCTCCACCACCCCCGCTGGAATCCCCCCAACTACCACCACACGCACTCGTCATCCAAAGACCTAATTAGGCTCTGCGGGAAAAAAGGTTTCTTTCTTGCCTCCCCGGCAGGGATACCTACTTTCCTAAGCCCAAGAGGGGCTCAAACTACCATAGACCTGTGTTGGACCAACACCCAGTGTCGACAACATATACAAAATTGCAAAGTGTTGTTAGACAATCATGCGTCTGACCACCAACCCATTCTCCTCACCATCTCGCTGGAAGGCAAAACTCAATGGCCCTCGGCTTCAAGAGGCGTCACACCAGAAAAACTTAATAAATCTCAATTCAAAGAAGATTTACAACAAGCCATGCAATCTATCCCCTTCCCTCATTCCAATGATAATGGCCCTTCCATAGACAGCGCTGTGTCTCGCCTGACCTCATGCATCCAAGAATGCCACTTGAAACAAGGCACGGTTCCTTATAAAGGACGACATCGAGCTAAGTCATGGTGGGTGCCTCCAATACTAGGGCCGCTAGTAGCAAATAGGAATAAAGCCCGAAGATGGATGATCCTATCCAACTCTGTAGAGGCACGACAATGCTACTATGCTTGGCAACTCGCCTTCAAACACAAGGTTGAGGAGCTAAAATTACTCCATTGGAGAAGATTCCTAGCAAGAACGGGGGACACCTCGGCTTTCCAAGCGTATAAGTTCACCAAAGCAAGACAATCAGCTACGGGTTGAGCCCCTCTATCGGCCGGATAAGACCCTCAGTACTGATGTTGCTGAACAAGCCGGGCTGCTGTTTACAGGCACCTCGTAATTGACTCGAATGTGATCTTTCGACATCTCAGAGATGGACACCCTATCAGATTCCTC